ACGTCCTTCATTGAGTTCCTGAAAAACGCTGATTTTCGAATAGTTGTGTAATCTGTGAGAGGCCGTCAAACTGAAGTGTCCTAGGAGCGCTTCTTAAAAGTAGGCAGGTTACATGGGAAAGCTTTAAATTAACATGGGAAAGCTTTAAATTAATCAAATTCGCGTCTTTGTCGCGCTGTAGCTACTCTTCAATGATTTAAGTTTTCCATATGGAGTGCTGACGTTTCCAGTCTTCAGCGCGAGCTTTTTATCAGTGAAGTCAAGTTCGGACAAGTGAGACGATTCGTGAGCGATGAAAGGCTTGATTAATGTTGATGGGGTTCTGTATAGTGGGAAGTGCGTCTGGTCTCTATGATCTCTTCACATCATCGTTAATTAAAAAAACTTTTTACTGACTATTGCGTCTTTATTTTTGTGAACTAGTATTGCAAATGAGTCCTATTTTCAAAGGAAGCGCGGTAACAAGTGAATAGGTTTGGCGTACCTTTTTTTGGTTTTGTAGCCGAAATTCATTGATGCATTAACGCAATTTCCCCATGGCCGATTCTAACATGTTTTCATGAGTCGCTGAAGAAGGTTTCAATGAACAAAGTCCTTTTTCCCGTGGAATTTTCTTGAATCAGTTTCCTCTCAGATTCATGGGCTCCTACAGAAAAAGTAAACGTGAGCTGAATTGTTTATTTGCAATCTGATCTTTACACCCACCGCACCTCCCCCTCTGTCTCCCTTTCGCAACAACATCCAGCAATCAAAGAAAGCTTCTCGCCAGTTACTATGATATGATCTTCGAAGTAAGTTTGTCCGTGAGAGCTCCAGCGAATGTCAAGACAGTTCCCTCGATCAAATATTATGGGTAGTTTCTGTGAAATTATGAATAGGTAGCTAATAAGTGACTCTGCAACGAAGAAAAAAATAGCAAAAAATCTTCAAGAACACCACAACAAAATTGCTCCCTGACAGTCACATAGCCTCACTGTACGAGTTCCCGGAAGACGCGTCTCAGGACACTTTTCACCCGCGAAACCTTCATCCTCCTTCCTTTCTTCCTCCAGTTTCTTCTTTTCCTTTCTTCCTTCTCTCTCCCCTCGTCCTTTTCCTTCTCCCTGCCAATGCTCGACGAAAAGATGCGAAGAGAAAATACCTCTGGACCCTCGCGGCGAGAGGATGTTTGGTTGAAAACAGTCCTGTAACCCACACGGAAACACTGGAGCAAAACTAGCAACAGAAAGTAACTTCGGGAAATTCTGCCTACGAAAAAAGGGTTACGGTATGCAATACACGTCGAGCTTTTGCACCAGCCAGTTCCATCTCTGGTGATCTGAATAGGTTTAGCCTTGGGAGATGGACTGGTGTTGGCTGTGCTCCTAATGAAGAAAATGTAATAGAAGAGAGCAGAATTACTTGAGTACGAGGGCGGTCGGCAAAGGACACGTAATTTATGCCCGCCGCTCGAACAAACAGCAACTGAGCACCCCTGAGATAGGTATGGAGAGGACGTTCGTTGGAGTAGGCGGTCCAACTGAGCGGGTGTTAAAACTGGAGCTTTCGGCAGCTGTAGCACCCTCCTCACTCGCTGTGGAGTCGCAAAGTGGGACAGTCTATAAGTCTGCGGGTTGGACTACTTGCACGAAGAAGGACGACCACGAATGCTTGAGCTCGGGGTTTGTCTTTACTGTGAACATGCACTCTTGAGAAGAACAGGCTTACGCTATAGGCCGCTTTAGCAAACTTTTCAAAAGCCTTCCACATATTACCCCTTGAACATTCTTTTGCGCTTATATGGCACAGATGCAAAGCATTACGTTGCCGGTTGTAAGTTAGTGGAAATTTCATTGTCGTGTTAATAAGGCGCCTTGAAAACTGCTGACAATGCCAATATGGCGAATTTTTTCTCAAGTTCCCCATTAGTTGTTCACCTTTTTTCGGCTATACCACATAGCCCCGCCCACCCTGAGACACTACGCCCAATTTGTGAGTCCGCTCACTTCTGTAAAATGCCTTAATTTGGCTATGCTGGGGCTTGTTTGTCGCTCGGAATGAACTAGAGAAAGTTGCGGCGTCAAATAGGCGTCTATGGAGGCATTCGGAATGGCACCGGCGTGTTGAAAATTGGCCACCATAGTCGTAAATCGTGACGCCATGACTCTGGTATATATTTACATTTTTCAATTGTTTCGACTTGATTTCTTGGGATATTTGTCGCTCGATTAAATGCCTGATTTGGACTTTTGTTTGCCAACGCTTTCGCTCAATCCCATGAGAGTGTGCGATATGCTGAAACCACAGAAGCACTCGCTAATTGGAAGCATTCATTGCTACGGCTAATGACTTAGAGCGCCGTACAGACTTCGCGATCGCGCGATCGGATCGCTTGGATCGCGCGATCGGATCGCGCGATCCGATCGCGCTACTGAGGGTGAAATTACTGCGGGAGGGGGTTATGTGCGTATATGTTTATTGATCCTGCTCTCTCTCTCTCTCTCTCTCTCTCTCTCTCTCTCTCTTTTCCTTCTTTCTTCCTTTGTGTACATAACGCCCTCCTAATTAAGAACGTTTCGAAATATCTTTGAGTTATTTATTATTTCCTATGTAAAATAGTACTAAATATACAATATGCTAATTATTATACTGAATTTTGCATCTGAGTACGTTCAAGCGGAGTGTTGAACATCTTGTTCCAAAAGTAAGACGCAGAACTTATACAGGCGGGTGATTGTTTCATCGTCCCTTCCCCCATGTTTGCAGTCCGCCAGACATTCACTTACTTTTGTCACTTGTGTTTGCTATCGTTTGTTCTGCATCTCACAGGTCTATCACAACTTTTCCTTTCACGCGTTGTTTCTGCAAACGTCAGTATTGCGAATATGAACAATGGAATAAAAGACATCAAAAAAGGTCGAATTACTTTTATATCGTTTTTGGAACTGCCTATTGGAGGCAGGATACAGCATTGTGATGTGAGAAATGGTGATATTAGTACGCTCCCTTCCCAGAACTTTGTTGTTGTTGTTTGTTGAGTTGAGTTGAACATGAACGAACATGACCCCCTCCCGCAGTAATTTCACCCTCAGTAGCGCGATCGGATCGCGCGATCCGGACTTCGCGCGATCCAAGCGATCCATCGGCGATAAGTCTTGAACGCGCTCTATATAATTGTACGCGCAAAGGTCGTTTCATTGAATACCAGGCATTGAGAAAGCGGCGCTGAGATCTTATGAGTTGAAATGTCCAGATTTTCAGTTTAGGAGACGTTTTGGGAGCAGCTAACGAACATGCTATAGTCATCTGAATCTGATTTACTTCCAGAATGCGTTCTTCTATCTGTACTTGATCTACAGCTTTACAAATCTGATCCTGTTGTCGGAGAAGCTTGGAGATCTGCTTGCTGCCCCCCCATGGTCACACATTAGGTGGGCTGTTTTTTGTTTCTTTTCTGCTTTTACTGTGCGCATTGATCTTAGTGAGAGGTGTGAATACAAGGCTATGGTGCTGAGATTCATTGCGAATTTGTGTAAATGGGTCTTCTTAGACCTGCGGTAAGTCTTCTAGAGAGTAGAGATAAGATATTCAACAAAAATCACCCGAAGTCATGTTTTTGGAAAACTGTACCCGAGGGACTTGAACCCGAACACGCGTTTACAGGACGAGTGCAGCTATCATTATGCACGTAGGGCCAGGCCCCTTACAGTCAGCGCCGAGGTAGCTTTTGTTCCTAGTCTACAGGCATCATACGTTTATTGTAATGAGCGGGTAAGCCAGTATCGGCAGTGAACCGGCTGAAGGCTTCACACGTGACTCCACCCGAAAAAAGATTTGCTATGCCTGAATAGTTATTGTCGGTGAGCTCAGTGAGAAAAGTACTGCATGCCTGGACTGAAAATACGCCATGGCCTTGAACGAAATTGGTCGCGCTCGACTGTCCACTCGCCGCTGATTTTAGTGCGAAAAGACCTTTCATTCAAAAACTCCTATTTTATCAGTCTTCCTTTACTTCCAATTTCCATAACTCACCAAAATTTATTGATGAAATGCATCGCAGCGAGTCAACCCTCTGGCGGCTAACACACACTCCTCGTTTGTTGAGGATGCCTCTATACTCAGAGCCCTTGCCCTGATCCATCTTAACCATCGTACGCTATCATCGAGCGAATTATGTCAGGGCGGGTCGTTTTTGAAGTCGAAAGAAATTCCGGTTATCGATTATCCTATTTAGGTGCGATATATACGCCCCCCCCTCCTCCTCCCTCGGGCGAGCAGTAAAATTTGGGAAATTGAGAGGTGAGAAGCTGACAGAACTGAGCCCCCAGGCAAAAAGATGGAGGCTTTGCAGTGCACCGACCATTTCACTGTAATCTTATAATGCGTCCTGATCCTAACTTGTACGCTCAGTTTGACGGTTGGAGAGATCGTTTCGGTAGCGAAGATCCATCTTGCTTTGCAAGAAAGACACAATTTCATAGAGCTAATGGCGTGACTACTTCTTTATCATCTACATACATTTCAGGGTGATAGAACTGGTGGAGGAGTTGCGTCGTCTGCACTCAGACTGCCTAGAGACTGATCGACCGCCGTCGACAGTTCCATCAAGTGTCGTTGTCATTGGATCAGAGGACGAAGAGAAAACTGTAACCAACAGGACGGTTCGTTCAGCGCAGACTGTCTTGAGTCGTAAATATTAATGACTTGCTGATAACAGTTATACAATATTAAAAAGAGCATAGCAGGGCACGCCAATTCAAAGAATTTTGAGGGCGTTTGGCTTGGGAGTGGGGGTGGGGTGATTATTGCCCAGTATCATGTCTGACGGCCGGCATTTATTCAAAGTGGCTCCCTTGTCACTTAGGAGCTAAACAAAAGTTAACAACTCTACCAAAGTGAGACTTGTTAATCAACACGTAATAGAAAAAGGGGTCACGAAATGGCTGAGTGCCCCTCCTCCTCGTCAAATAGCGCTGAATTTTGAAGAGTGGATACAAAAAACTTTTTTTTTCGTTTCACAGGTTTAGTATTAGGTTGGGGAGAAAGTTATGATACATTTGTGACTGTGTGGTTTGATATCTGTTTTTTGGTCCACGTTCATATTGATTGGGGCACATGAAGAGTCAATCGATAAGAGAGAAAAGGTGCTACAAAACTGCATAAGTAGTTACTAAAGTATAGAAAATGCATTATGATATGCCTTTGCAATGCGTACCATCCGAACATCTTTCTCGCCATGTCATGCTGTTCTTGCACATGTCTCGCCTTAACGCCAATGAATCCTACCTACTCCTGCAACTTCTCCATTGGATCAAGACAGGTCAGGGCGCCCAGTGGTTCGGATCTGGGCATGCTCGGAATCGTGTAGAGGAGGATTCGTGCTGAACTACTCGTCAAATGTTAAACAGTTATGGCGCTTCCTACAGAACCATTCTTCATAGACTGAAGTCGGCAAGGTCCGATGATAGGGCAGGTGGGTCCCTCCCCTTCCCGTTGACGCAGTTCGACATGCATCGCAGATATGGCGCTCACTCTTCACTCTCTAGCGCATGCATGCGTGCATGAAAACCTTGTCGCTGGGGTTGCGAAGTGGGTACTGTAAGCGTGCACCGCAGTGCTGGCGAACAGGAGAGGCCCTAGACGTGCCAGCAGCCAGCCTTCGCTGGAAAACGGTGATGCTGTGCATGTGGTGGAGGGTTCGTGGCATGGAGTTCTGGAAGCTACTAAACGAGGGAACTACAGTGGCGCCTAATGCTCCACTACTCAGCTACGAAAGCAGAAGACGCATCTTTGAACTACTCGTTAACAGCAGAGGGATATTTACTTTCAGCACGACAACGCCAGATGCACATCGCAAGAACGGCAGAGAGTGAGCTGGCTGCGTATGAATGCACCATCCCCCTTCATCCGCCTTACACGGCAGGGCTCGTACCCTCCGACTAACACCTGTTTTCAAAATTTCAGCGCTACTGGATGGCATAGATTTCAAAAGACGTGGTGACATCGAAAAGGAACTAGAGGAGCTCTCCGAGGTGCAGCCAGCCGCCTTCGGGAGGAAAGGCATAATGGACCTGTACCCTGCGCGACACCATTATTGTAATGGGGCGTGTTTCAAGTAATCTAGTGCTTTTGTTTAAATGCTGTAATAGAGGGAAAATGCTGTCTCATATGTATCATTACTGTCTTTCCAACCTCATACAACCTTTGCTCTCGATCGCGTGAAAGCTACACTTTGCGGTTGGTCTTTCGTGGTATATGTTTACTCACGTCACTGGGTAAACAACAATCTGAGAGGAGTAGAAAGTTCAAAGTCGTATGAGGGTTTTTTACGCACCATTTGGGTACCAGCTATCATCAGCATATATTCCTTCATTTTGTTCGATAATTACCTCCACTGTACGTCTAAAATAGTGTAGAGTGATTTAGATCGAAGAACTTCATGGAAAGCAGCTGTCGCTCGAGCGCGACTGTGATGATGAAGAAGAAGCTCAATTTCTTTTAGGTAGGCTACCTTTTGATTGTACTGTAATCAATTCCACTTAATTTATGGTGATTTTATAGGCAACAAGTCCGATCGAGAAGAAGATTGGCCTGATGATGGTGTAGCGATCACCATCGATTCAGTTACACTTGCTCCTCCTACCGATGCACAAAAAACCATTATTGCAAGTAAGTTATCGCTGTAGTTTCCAAATAGTTCTAAGGTCCAATGTTTCGGCGCCTTTTCGCGGTTACAGGGCTTCTATCAGTCGTTCATTCTTTCACGACGGGAGTCCAGAGGTGAGGAAGTAATAGAGAGAAATGAGACACTGAAAGAAGGAAAGAAGAAGGAAAGACAAGCTTAAAGAGAATGGAGACTTCGCGCTGTTGACAAGTATTCTGAGATGCATTGGAAGGTTCAGTAGCGAAGTTTTGACACCTCCCTAATAAAGTGGGGTTTTTGGCGCAGACCCGCAGAACAATTATAACCACGACTATGCGCGAGGTTCATCCACCCCTGAGTGCCTCATCTCTATGCTCAGTGAACACCATCGTGATGTGTAAAGTGGTTTTGTAGGTACGACCCCCCGCTTTCCGAGAGAAGGTGTCAATACGACCCCTTCCCCTCCCCAGCACCTACCTAACCGGTGCCCCACAATTTAGCCAGTGTCTCACCAAGACTTTCCCGCCCGTTGTATATGCGGGGAAGGGGGGGGGATGTAGTACACATGAAACAGGAAAAATGACGAAAAGGCAACGACCGAGAAAAATCTCTTCCCAACGCGGCAAATTCCTCCCAAGCCACGATAGGCCCTCCCCCTCTCCACGACGACCGAAGTTAAGGGTCCGCTCCCCAGCCGACAAAGTACGTCCCCCCTATGCTGTTGCACACAACGGATGCTGTACCCTTGTCTATTGCGGTCGTTCTTCATATGTGTCTTCACTGAAAATTTCCCTTTCTTGCTGAAACAGTCCCGATATTTCACTCATTTGATTATGGTTTCCTTCCGATGATTGTGAGAAATCTAATGGGCGTTTAGTGATTATTCGTCGGCTAGGCGGTAATAATCTTGTGGCAAGGGGGGGGGGTTGGGGGCTTGGCGGCAATGTCACCACTTGCACGGCCTAGTCAACGTTAGTGTGTGTCGTGTCCTTGCTTTTCTTTTGCCTTGTCAGTCGTGTCTCCCCCTGCAAGTTCTGCAAATTTCTGTCAAGTGCTCTAACCTCCTGTCAACCTTGGCAAAGTGGTAATAGCATCATTTAAAGCTACTTAAATTCAAATCCACCCATTTTCTTCGGAATCTTAACAGTCATTTGTTGACAAGGTTGCCGGGCATTAACATGTATACAGTTTGTAGAAGTTGGTATTGACAAAAATACCAGCTCCTACAAACCAAAATACAAACTCTGTACAGAATGTTAGCCCTCTCTCTTCCTCTCTCTCTGAAGTTGGTATCGACAAAAAATATTAGCCCTCTCTCCCTCTCTCTCTCTCTCCTCAAAGTCCTTGGACCGCAGCCTTTTTACTGTATGATGTTATGACAAATATGCTTATTTGTTATAACTGCTGTCATATCATTTTATCACCACATACTGCTGCCCGAGAGTTGCCACGCATAAAATCTAGCATTTTTTTGTGAAAGTCCAGCCGCCATTCAGATCATTCAGTTTTGTTCAAAGTTGCACATTTGCAGACCTGTCACTGCAGCTGATTCAAGGCCAGAATGTACTGATTACGGGTGATAGTGGTGCTGGAAAAACATCATTACTGCGAATGTTCGCTGGTTTGTGGAACAATGTTTCTGGTGAGTTCAACGAAACCTGTTCCTTATGTATTGACTTTTTCAATCATTGTGTTGATTTCCTTTATCTCAGCTAGCCTCCTTTTCATTGAAAAAAGAAACCTGAGCAATGGCTCTGTTGCAACCTATTCTATAGGTTGGAAGGAAAGTCCTGTCAGTGTTTTTTGAAAAGCTTACAGTTTTTGATTCTCGATGCTCGTACATGACGTGCTATGCTTGTAGGACACTCTGGGAGCTTTCCTGCAAGAGGCGTGTGAGGGCGCATGCTATGCTTGTAGGACACTCTGGGAGCTTTCCTGCAAGAGGCGTGTGAGGGCGCCTGCTCTTCCCTGAGTTTAATTACGATATCAGTTTTACAGGAGTAACTTTGAGTCATCATCTTCTATCAGTGGCCCCGCGGCACTGGAGCCACGGCAGCTGTCCGCAACATCAACTGTGCATTGGCGGAGACACCACTACCATCAGGACCGTCCACCTCTGGATTCGCTCGCTTCGCGAAAAGAGACTCGATCCTCGAAGACAAACCTCGGTTGGGATGGCCCCACGGAGTGGAAGACTCCACCATTCTCGAAGCAGACAAGGGGGATCCAGAGGCTACCACCCGCAGTCTTGCGACAAGACTCGGATGTACCTAACTGACAGTCGTCCACCGCCTGTAAGCCTTTGACTACCAAGAAGTACTGGCTTGATGGATCATTCATACCTTGACCGATGGCACGCTGTGCACCCGGGTACCCCTTGGTCAGTCTCCCCTTCTCTGCCCTCGTCAGAAGGAGTTTCCGGGAGACTGCTTAGTGGGGATGAGAGATGGGTCCTCTATGATTTCAACCCACACAGTACCGTTTGTCTCTCTCAAGGAGAAGATCCATTCTAGCAGTCCAAACCGGGCATGTATTCCGAAAAGGTTCTCCTGTGCTGCTCCTGGGACGCGAGGAGGTGCTGCAGAACGAGCTGCCCCATAAGAACAGACGGTCACCGCCACCATTTGTGTCGCTCAGCTCCCGAAACGAGTGAAAATTGTTGGAGAAAAATGACCGAGACTTGCTTCGGGTCACCTCGTTCGTAGCACACGAGACCCCATACCTGCTATGAAGACCTACCAAATAACGAGGAGCAAGGCTGGAAGACCAGTCCCCGCTCATAATATTCTCCTGACGTAGTCCCCTACGACTGCTACCTGCTCCGCCTCCTTAAGGCTTTCTTAGCTAAGAAAACTTTCAGCAATTTTGATGACATCAGTCGAGAGGGCGCTGACTTACTCTACTCGCAGCCTTCTCAGTTCTGGGAGGAGGGGAATGCTTACCTGTCCATTGGGTGGAGCACTGTAGTGGCTAACTATGACGAGTATATTGTTGACTAATTCCCACTGTATATTGAGTTAGAAAATAAAAAAAGAAAAAAGGCACTTTTTACCATGGTACTGTTGCGAAAGGCGAGAGCACCGACAGATAGGGGATAGTGGCTGTCGGGTACGCCAAAGGTGTATGAATGATACAGAGAAGGGTTTTGGAGACAGCCCCCGCGCTCAAGTAGTACATGGTCGTCCTTCCTTGTGCAAGTAGTTCAGCCCCCAAGCTAGAGACTATCCCACTCTCGCGACTCCACAGTGAGCGAGGAGCGAGCTACAGCCGCTCAAAGTTCTAGTTCTAACGCCCGCTCAGTTGGACCGCCCACTTGCTAGATGCCCTCTGACGGAGAGCCGCTCAGTTGTTCTTTGTTGGGACGGCGGGCATTAATCGGAATTGCATGTACTTTTTGCTGACCGCGCTCGTGCCCATAAATAATTCTGCTCTCCTTTATTACATTTTATTCATTGGGAGCACATACAGTCAACTGCAACCCATCTCGCAAGGTAAAACGCGTAAAAATCACGAGTGATGCAATTTTGTGGTGCAAAAGCTCGACATGCACTAAAAGCCGCACACTGCACGTAACCCCAAATTCGGACGCCAAGTTTTTGAATTCTTTTTTATGTTTTTCGTTCGTGTTTTTGTTGTTTTTCGTATTCTTTTGCACTGGATGATATCCACTACTGGGAGATGTGATAAAGGGATTTGTGAGCCAGGGGTTGCACAGAGACCGCAGGGAGGTGTGACTGTCAGGGAGTGATTTTGTTTATGTTGTTCTTGAGGGCTGTTCTTGGTTTTTTCCTTCGTTGAGGAATTACCAGCTACTGTTTCATAACTGAACAGCAACTATCCTTGACACTTTTATCGCGGGAGCTGTCTTTAAGGGAGGAGGCCCTGGGTGAGCCACCTATCTTATGCAATATTTGGGAAGCGCGAGGTTACAGTTGATAAAGACGGGAGTGGAATGCTGATGCGGTTTGAGATACAATGTTAATGCAAACATTTTTTCCATTTTGTAGCTATTATGCATTCCTTTACAGGTAAAGTGGATCGTCATTGGCGGGTGCGCCCACAAAATCTCTTGTTCGTACCTCAAAAGGCATACTTCCCGTCCGGAGGCATCACTCTGCGACAGCAGCTTGTCTATCCTCTCAAAGCTCTCCCTGTAGAAAAAGGTAAGCGTCCATTCATATTTTGGTGGATGTGAATGATTTAGACCCGAGGAAAGCTTATTGTTGGAGAGCATGTGGCTTCTCTATTCATTTCCCGAATGTGAGGTCGTGGACCTTCTATGTTCTCGAAACTCTTACATTTAATTGAACCAATCGTTACTAGTTGGCTTTTCCAGATCTGGCAAGGTTGACGCAAATCTTAGAATGGGTTAAAATGGAGCATTTGATGGAGCGATGTCAAGGCTTCGACGCACCTGTTGACTGGGATTGGTAAGAATATCACTTCCTGTTCATTAATTAATCTTCTCTGACGTCATTTTTGCGGATTTACCGTATTTTCAGGAATGAAGCTCTCTCGCCCGGCGAATTACAGCGGTTATCACTTGCACGAGTGTTCTACACTAAGCCACGAATTGCTTTTCTTGATGAAGCAACGAGTGCGATCGGATTTGAGCTAGGAAATGCAGCTTTACAGGAAGCTGCAAGAGGTAGAAATTTCTGTGCTGTTGTTCGGGCAGTTAAAGATAACAAGATGGGTTAAGGGGGGTGGCGTTACTTTGAAGTCGCAGCGAATGCGGCAAAATAGACGTTGCAAGCTGGGTGACATACGCAGCATTCGCACCAGGACTCAACGAGGAAGTGCTGCGGCTCATCGAGTGGGTCTACGGACAACTTGAACTCAATTCCTTTGAACGCGTCGAATTTGTGTTTTTCTCTGTTCTCTCTCGTCCGCGTGGCACTCTATGGTCATTGTGACTTCGCACATTCCAGCTTTTCACGTATGATAAGTGGCTCACCCACCCCGGAGTCCCCTCCCCTTGAAAAAGCTCGTTTCCTGGCTCGCCATAGTTTCTTGCACGTCTCGATGCTTTGGCAGGCGCTGTCCTCTATCTGTCTGCGTTTCTTGGTTTCGCAACAGGACCATGCACAAAAGTTCAAGATATCAACGCGAGTGTCTCAGCTCTCTCTGCGTCTGCGTTCTTAGGTCGACTAGCTACCACTTACTGTGTGTGTGCCTGTCTAGCCGGCTAGCTAGGACCAGTGGCATCTAAAATACACCGTGATAAGATTGAGGATCCAGGGCTGATCAACGTCGGAGGCTTCGAAACTTTACATTCTTTGCCAGATGAGTAGATTCACGCCGACGAAAAAAACTGGCAAGGAAGTGCATGTGGTTTTTTTACTTGAAGACCAAAAAGCACCGGAGAACGCTTAACTTAGCTACTACATAAATACCTAGCTTTTTGACTATACATTCTACTACATTTTCACCATAGATCAATCAGGTCCTGGTGCAAGTGCCGCGCGCGTGATTCCATCCGACATCACCACAACGTGAAGCTACCAGTGACATCCCATAACGTCCTGTAAACTAGTCTAAGGCGAGCTCTTGGAAATTTAGCTAAACGTTTATCGGCACCATTTACCTTCTGCTCAACCATCCAGAATTGAGCCGGTTTTTGACCGACTTTTTTCTCCGTGGACAGATTTGGCTCAAATGTTGTCTCCTGGGTAGTTTGACCTCCTGAATACGAATATGACATTCGCTTAGCCCGAAACTTCCTGGCGCCCGCGCCACAGGCGCCGGTGATTTGGGGTATTTTGGCGCCAGCGCCTGTAGCGCGGGCGCCAGGAGGTTTCGGGCCGAGCGGATGTGATATTCGTGTTCAGGAGGTCAGACTACCCCTGGGAACAAGTTTTCAGCGAATTTGGTGATTTAGGTATTTTGGCGCGGGCGCCAGGAGGTTTCGTGCCGAGCGGATGTGATATTCGTATTCAGGAGGTCAAACTACCCCAGGGAACAAATTTTTAGCCAATTCCCGCAGAAAAAAGTCGGTCAAAAACCGGCCTGTTTTTGGAAGATGGGGCAGTAAAGGGTAAATAGTGCCAGTTTATCTCCTATTTTCAGTTTCTAACTGAATCCTTAGTACCATGACGGGATTTTCCCCATTATGGTGCCTTGATGACCGTTTTGATGACAATCCATTCTCTATGTACTAGGCGACAGATGGGTCATTATTGTGATCACGTCCATCAAGGGTTACCACAGGCCTATAGTCAATAGGCTTATTGGCCAAGAGGCCAAGAACCATCCCTGCGTCATTAGGAGAAATGATGAGAGAGCGTGGGACCCCACCCATTATTTTCAGAGGTGTAGAACAACGCCTTCCGCTGATGCTGAAGATACTGGCGCCGCCTCTTATAAGGTAAGTCCGCCAACTTACCATGGAACTTTGAATGGAGACCTGGGTAGATCGATAGAGTCTATAAGGTTATTTACAAATATAGATAGCAAAACTGCATTTCACAAGCAACTTATGAGCAGGTAAAGTTTGTAATGGTGCAGTAGGGTGGAGGCTTGGTGGTGAGCTGTGAAGCATAAGCGAGGAATCGCATACGTCGAATCGAGTCGTGGTGGTTCAGTGGTAAGGTTCGACGTTCGACGACTCGATTCGACGTATGCGATTCCTCGCTTATGCTTCACAGCTCACCACCAAGCCTCCACCCTACTGCACCATTACAAACTTTACCTGCTCATAAGTTGCTTGTGAAATGCAGGTTGCAGTTTTGCTATCTATATTTGTAAATAACCTTATAGACTCTATCGATCTACCCAGGTCTCCATTCAAAGTTCCATGGTAAGTTGGCGGACTTCCCTCCGTGGTTGGCGGACGCACTCACTACCTTTGAGTTTGCCCGTTGCAGCGTTTTTGGCAAATTTTTTCCAGGAGGTTAGTTGTTAGTGATATATATAATTGGTTGTTGGTGACTCAATTCATAGTGCAAATGGGCGCAGCTCAAACCTTAAACTTGGGTACTTGAACATTCATTAGCAACTTCATTAGTAATTAGTAACGGAACACAACTTGTTTACGTATAACAAAAGCTTCGATTGTCCGTATCAACTTCAACAGATTCAGGTATCGCATCATCGCAAAAAGAAAACTTCAACAAAATCAATAACCACATCACCGCCAGTATATAGTCATTACAAGGATAAAGACAGAATCGAAGGAAGGGGAATAAGCAATAAGAAGTGGAAGAGAATCTGGTTTACTGAGCAGTACTGGTCCTTTATACTGCGTCACGGCCCATCATGCCGCGACTGATTTTGAGCGGGATGATCTGTAAAAGGGCGTTCACCAAAATCGCGAACATCTGCCTTAATAAATATGAACACAGTTTTTGTAAGGAGCTGCATATTTCGATTTTTTTTCCAGGAGAACATAACATACGTATCAGTTGGCCATCGGTATTCGCTGAAACAGTTCCATGACATGGAATTGAGACTGCTTGGAAGAGGCGAGTGGTCCATGTTCGACATCGATACGGCTTCTGTTGCCAGTCGAGCAGCCAGCATGATGGGTAATGATGGTGTACTCTCAATTTAGTGAAAATAGCGAGTAGCATTTCATTCGCGTCACTCTGTAACGTCTGATTTCGTTGTGCCGTTGAGCTTCTGTCTCCCTTTGTAAACCATCTGCCACGTTGAATGATCCTGTGTATTTTTCTCCACGCGCTTCCTCAATCAGGTATTAATCGCCTTTGTTGTAGTAAACGATTTTAGTACTGACTTTGCCTCACATTCCTCAGTGTTATTTTTCTAACGTTTCAGTGGAATCTCCTTTCTCTCACGTTTTGTGCTATTGTCAGAGGCAATTTGTCTCTGTAAACGCTTTCCTGTGAACCTATGGTGCTTTGCTTTCGTATATCTCGCCTTTCATGTTTACAAGTTTCTTTTTGGCACAGTAGTTCTGTGGAGCCGCCATTATCTATAAGGAGGTCATCGAAGGAGTATGGTAGTTTCTTACGTGCTGAGCTTTGTCCTATAACGACGTATTGCCTTGACATATGATGACCGGTCAGTGCATGGCGTGTCATGACGCGCCATGGCGGACAGATCGCATATACGCTCCATATCCCTGAGATGGTAGGGCGTGGCTCCCCACTTCAATGGAATACATCATAGGACGTGTTTTTTTTGCGGGTGATTTGCACTTAAACAATTTCATCCTGTTTTATGCTGCACAAAGCCAATCCCAGATGGCGGGATCCCTTCCGAAAGCGCAGCCGCTGCCACGGTTAATGATGTACGCAGCCACGCCCTCCCTATATCCGCGGTATGGAGTCTAGGAACATGAACCTTTGTTTGCGGCTCCGTGATGCTGTAGCTCCATGTTTTTTTTTCGGATTGTCCATGATTTGAATCATTTTTCAGCCAGACAATAGCAAACATCAAACGTGATATTCTGAAGTATTCTAAGATCTGATCGATTATGCGTTTCAAATATTGCTTTTCTTGTCTCTGATACCTTAAATAGGTTTATTTTTACGGTTTTTTAACACTTTCATATTTTCACACGTGTTCCTGTGTTCTTAATCTTGTACATACTTTCAATACCTGTGGCCAGGTTTATATACTAACCTCATTATTATATGTGTTTACTTGAATGTTCAATTGCTATGCTTTAAGTGGCTATGACAATGTGCATTTCATAGTATCATATGGTTTTTCATATGATTATTCTCCAAACTAGCATGGGTCATCGACTCAAGTTTGCACAAGCAACAGATTAGTTTTAGTTGTGATTTTAGTCACCGATATCGATAAAATTGTACTATTTTTGTTTCTAGAATAGATGAAATCTACAAGGAGATGTGGCTGAGCAGGTGGAGTCAGTTTGCATGAGTATCGAATAACTGTGTTTAACGTGTAAGGAAGAAAGATCCTCATAATATTTGGGCTCACTGCTGTTCCGTTCAAGAGCTCTTTCCTGGTGTCAGCACTGCCTCACTGCGTTGTTCATGTATCAAATGCGCTACTTGGTCCCAGAGTCGAATATGGGATCGACTTCTACTTAGGGCGAGCTAAGGGGCCGATCAATAAGTACCAGACCTGTTCGAGGAAACTAACCCACTGGTCTGTACGTAGATCTCCAAGTAATTGCATAAGTCAAGTCATAGTCATGGTTTAACTACGTCTACAGGGGAGGGGGGGGCAATTAAAAAAAGACACTTCTTCCTTGACTTTCGAGGGCGCTATAGTTACACTTTATTAAACTCTGATCGGACATTTTTACCACCATATTGAAGAGCATATTAAGTACTATCATGACACTCCGCCACAGCCTTCTGGACGAGCGCCATCGAGAGATTCTGGCACGCGACCGCGATGTGGTGCCTGAGATCAGCGAGATAGTCGATTTCTCCGCCACCGTAGACCACCCTATTGAACTCCGCCCAAACCAGGTAATTGAGGGGGTTTGGGTCAGGTGACCTACCTCCCGCTTGGATATTCCATCTTCTTTAGGAACTCAACGCCCTTCCATTCCAAGTAGGCGAGAGTTTTTCCAACGCCCTTCAATTTCATGTGGTGTCACCCAATCCTGTAGCAGTACAAAGTTCCCAAGAAAAGTACGGCGATGGTGGCGGAGATATTCTTCTCGAGTTGCTCGATGTAACCGCCAGCGCTCACCTTCAGTCCGGAGTCCACGAAGAAAATATCGGTCTTTCCATTCCAGGTACGTCCGGTCCATACCA